GTAGTAGTAGTAGTAGTAGCAGTAGTAGTAGAAGCAGAAGTAGAAGTAGAAGTAGTAGTAGTCGTAGTAGTAGTAGTAGTAGTAGTAGTAGTAGGCGCCCCCCCTACCAACTACACTTGCTCAAAACCATCTTAAGAGCACATCCGTTTTACTCGGTATCTACAGCACTTTCGTCATGTACGATCATCATAAGAAGCCTCGAATTTCGACTTGCCGAGTTTGCCAACTCGGCCTCTTGATTTTGGGCTTGCTTCTGACGGGGGTTGGGGTGGGATGATGACGACAGTGTTACGCAAACACAACCAACAATAATAACAATATCACCACCAGATTGCCACCCCGACTTCTGGACCGTGCGTCTCAAACTTTGGTGTCTCGAACGGCTTGCAGCGAAAACTCGATTTTGGGTGGGAGAAAGCTTTTCCTCGGTATTTAACTGCTGGTGATGCTGCTGGTGATGCTGCTCGTGGTGGTGCTCGTGGTGGTGGTGGTGCTGGTGGCAACAGTAACACTGACAAGTTTTCAACGTCAAGGTCCTGGCAATTCGAGATTCTTCGACCACACGGCGCCACCCGAAACCAGTACCAGATACATGATTAACGAAGATCGACCATAACATAGCACGGTGAGGTGCCTGATGGTCTGCAAACTTTCTACTTGTGGACTCGCTGGAAGCGTCGTGGGTATTCTGGCGTCTCTGGCAAAGCCAAGAGACACAAAGCCGCTGCTGGCTCAGGGCTCAGGTCATGGCCTGAAGAGTCTCCTCGTCTCTAGGCAGTGGAACATCCCTTCCAAACCTCAGAAACACGATGCGGCGCTTGGCTCACATCCGTGATCACAGAGGGCAGGGCTCACCTTTCACATAGACCTTGAGAAACTCTGGGAAGGTGACGGCGTGGCTGCCTCGGAGAAACCGCGCAACCAAGACTCTGCGCAGAGGCTAGGAGGAAGACCATCGACGTCAAGCGTTGTGAACTGCTCAGACAGCTCCTCCAGCTTCACGACTGTTGAGCCCCCTTCTCGAGAAAACCACGTTAAGCAATTGGCAGCGGTCCTGTTCAGACATCGGCTGTCCAAGCTTGGCATTCATCTCCTCGCGATTTTAGCGGGTAGGCGCCTGTAAGCGAGAAAGATGATCACTGAGTGTCAACCGTGGTCCCCGGCTCCTTTACCTCCTGGTAAGTGACCTTGCCATTGCCATCGATGTCCAGCAGGTCGAAAGCTTCCTTTTGTTCGAGCACCTTGAGATGCCCACGAAAAAGGCCCAGGAGACATTCCACGACACGTTCCACGGCGCACTTGGTCTTTACTCAACTCGTATCTGGCCATGTAGGCCTTGGCAAGAGGAGTGAAAGCATTCCGCACCTCTTTGGTGCCCCAAAGCCAATTGGCCTCCAGTAGACCAGGCGAAAGTAGACCAGGTGTCAGGACACCCTGGGTACAGTGACAGATAAACATTGACTTTACCCTGCACGGTGCAAGTCACATCTGTGCCTTGACAGCCGCCATGGCAGGTCGTTAACGCATTCCGCAGCTTCTACAAAGCCAAAGCAATTAATTGAATGCACTGAAAGTACGTAGGGTCGGACTCCCCATGCAAGGGTTGAGAGCCAGAGTGTTTGTTGAAATCTCAGCAGTCTACCTCTGCGTTCGGCCAACTATGCAACACTAGTCACTAGTCAGGCACTAATTACATCGCCTTCTCCCTACAGGCGCTGTGAGACTAAGCAACATTGGCACCATGTACCTGTCCTGCGCCTCTGCAGCCGTTTGCGTCTGAAAATGTTGCAAAACCGTGGCAGAGATGTGGAAGGCTTACAGTCTTAGAGTACGGCTGTGCGATGTCCTCCACATCTAGGAAGCTGTAGACAAGAGGGCCTGCACTCACAATGAAAAACAGGCTAGCACCGAAGGCAAGAGTGGCAAGCCTTCCAGTTTCTCTGCATAGGTCCGGATCCTTCACGAAGTTCTATCTTGACAACGCCAAGACAGCATAGAGAACAACAGAACCCGTGGCTCTTTGGACTGTGGGTGCAGCCTGTCCACATCGCTGATATCACAGAGAGACCAGGCTGTCCTTGAGAAGTCGCCAGTTCAACGATTCCGCTGCAGGGAGGCCACGTCTTACAGCCCGATTCTGCACATTCCAGCGGCCACAGTACCACAATCCATGGCCCTGAGGCTTTTGACCCAATCGGCACTCAGATCCCAAAACCAAGTCTCGGAGGCAGCACATCTAAGCCAGGGAGAAAAACATTTAGCTGGAAAGTAAAACAAGGTTTGGCAGCGCTCGTTTTTTGGGCGGTCGGAAATTTTGGCCTGCCTGGTGTACTGCGAAAGATTCCAAGGTATCACTGCACAAGGCACGACAAGAGGTTTGACCAAGGAACTTGCACCGGGACTCGCACTTCAGATGAAGCTCGACCGAGCGAAAGGTAAGTTTGCACCAATACTCGAGTTCCCGCACCTCGCAGTGGCGTTACATTTCTGAACGCGCATGCCTTGTGACACTTTGCACCATGTGACGTCTTGCCCTCAAATGAACATAATCCGCACATCCACCTTGTCAGTGTCCGAGAGCCTGAGAAGAGGCAGATGCCCGAATGGCCAACAACCCAAAAGATTTGATTCCAAGGCACTCTGTGGCTGTCAGGCTTCTGGAGGACGTCGTGATAAACCTGACTACGCGACAAGGCTCATGCAAAGTCTCCTGGTGAGCCCTTTTCGGTCGTGCGGGGTCGCCTTCTGCAGGCTCACGCCTGGTGACCTCCTGGTGAGCTCGGCGGCATTGCTCTACATTCTGCACGTGGGCTCACAATCTGGGCTAGCAAGATGGCACTCGCCCCTGGCACCGCTATTGACACTTGATATACTTGTTGATCCAGTATGGCACATGCACCTAGTTACCTCGTTGCTGCACAGCTGCATGGTGATCGGGCGAATGCAGCAGCCCATGTGGAGAGGGAGAGAGCAAGCATGAAACAAAAGCCTCTTCGGGTTCGATGCGACTTTTCTCAGTCACAACCGTCCAATGAGAACGCAGCTGGTCCACGGTCCTGAGCAACCGTTTGCGAAACATCTTGAACTATGCGTGCCCTTGTTGGGAGACAGGTCTGTCCATGTGCTACCTGCTACCCGTAACAACGCCCACACGGACATCCAATGTACGCACGGGCCTAACCCGAAAAGCTGAAACAAAAAGGGCAAACAGGATGAGCAGCAAGAGACAAAGACGCAAAGAACGCTAGAGAGAGAGAGAGAGAGAGAGAGACAAAGACAGAGAGAGAGAGAGAGAGAGAGAGAGAGAGAACGAGAGGCAGAAAGACAGAGAGACAGACAGGCACAGAGGCAGAGAGACAGACAGAGACAGACAGAGACAGACAGAGACAGACAGAGACAGACAGAGACAGACAGAGACAGACAGAGACAGACAGAGACAGACAGACACTGACAGACACAGACAGACACAGACAGAGACAGACAGAGACAGACAGACACAGACAGACACAGACAGACACGAACAGACAGACAGAGGGCGTGAGAGAGAGAGAGAGACACTGACAGAGACACAGACAGACAAGCAGACAGGCAGGCAGACAGACAGATATAGAGAGAGAGAGAGACAGACACGGAGACACAGACACAGTGACACAGACAGAGACAGAGTGGCGCAAACAGAGAGACACACACACAGACACAGACAGAGACCGAGTGACGCAGACAGAGAGACACACACACAGACACAGACAGAGACCGAGTGACGCAGACAGAGAGACACACACACACACGCAGACAAAGACAGAGAGACACAGACAGAGAGACGCAGAAAGAGAGACACAGCCAGAAGAGTCACAGACAGGGAGACAGAAACAGAGAGACTGAGACACAGAGACGGAGACAGAGAGACAGACACAGAAAGACAGAGAGACAGAGAAACAGAGAGACAGAGAGACAGAGAGGCAGCAGACATACAGAGAGACAGAGAGACAG